TTTTGTTACTAAATGGAAAGCGCCCACTGTCACACTCTCATTTCGTAAGCTATACAACTTGTGAAGCCGCATTTTAGAGACACGAGACCGATGACAAATGACCATCCTAAACTCTCTCATATATAACCCAGAAACGAACTTTACCTTCTTCTTTCAACAGTTTCGGTTGTTTTGGAGCGGGAACAGCACTTCTGCCCTTTCTCGAAGACCTGGATCTCTTCGCTGTCTTTGCTGCGCCGGCGCCTACAATTAAATCAATTAACAACATTAGAACAAGGGATTACGTCACGAGTATATACCTAGGTTATTATATTTGGGACCAGTTATTCTCGTCTTCTTTCAATTCGCCTCAATTCGAGCGAAAACATGTAGCCTTTTCTCGGTACTTGTATCATTTGAAGTATTTGACTTGTTTCAGACACATTTTTGTTCGGTCATCGTTCTAATGTGCCCATTTCTGTCAAAACGGAGATGCGACTGTTCATGACTTTTCATAAATATGTTTTGTTTGAAAAATACTTTCAAATTTTATGAGTGTCAAAGCGTCCTTTTACTAAGTAAATCAGGTATATCATACCTTTAAGGGATGTATTTCTCGAGTCTATAAATACAACAGATGAAGCAATACAATATTTTTTCACTGACCTCTTAAGACGATAATCCTTTCAAAAATTTTATCACACTGTTCCTTCCAGCTGTACATCTCTGAATATGTTCTCCGTACAACTTTATACTTCCCAAGTCGCATCTCCATGTCTTCCTGATGAATAGCTTTGATTGCGTGGGCCCAGTCTTTAGGATCTTCTGACTCCACAACGCAACTTGAACCACGTGGAACTTTCTTCAAAGCTTCTCCAAAACCTGACTTTCCGCTGACCAGCACAGGCAGACCAGCAGATAAAGCCTCAAGGGCTGCCAGTCCGAATCCCTCAGTTCGTGATGGCAATATAGCAAGATCTACCGCGTAAAACAACTGGGCAAGCTGCTCTCTACTTTCATTAAAACAACGCACAGTTAACTGACTGCGATCAACGCCTTGCTTAAGCAAAAAATCTTTTACTTTCTCCTCTTCGCCACTTGGAGCTCCAACAAACAAGAGCTTATAGGGCTGTGGCTCGTCTTTCAACTCAGCAATAGCGCGAGCAGCGATGTCGTAACCTTTCAACTGAAAGTCTTCATTGTCATCACGTCCAAACACTAAAACACTGAATGTTTTTCTCTCCTCAGTGGCTTGCTTTACATAAAAAAATTCAGAGAAAATGCCTGGGGTAAGATTAAGAACATCTTGATCCTTTCCACAGGAACGAAGATAACCTGACAGAGCTTCAGCTAGCTTGGGACCAACAGCTACAACTTGATCAGCCAATTTACAGAGTTCAACCTCCACTTGGTGCTTCCTCTCACCCTTGGAACTGCGTTTTTCATATCCTTTGTACATTTCAAGTGCTTGAGGAGCTGTATGAACGACCTGAAACCAGCTGCAATGACGATACCATTTTATAATCTGTGCTTGCCGACCGAGAATGGCCCCATGTCCTATCACACAGTCCACAGCATGGTCTTCTGGCAGACAAGACAACCAGAGATCGGGTTCTAAACCAAGCAATTCTTCTGCTTCGATGAGAGTAACATTGTGACTAGCAGCGACTTGTTTATCCTCTTTACTGCACTGAGGGAGATAAACACTAACCTCCACGCTGGGGTGTTTTGCCAACTGAATGGCCAGCTCTCGGTTGATGGTTGACAATGCTCTTTCCGTTGATCTCCATTCACTGCTTAACAGAGTTATTCTCAGTTTGTTACTGTTTCCTTGGCCTTCCTGTGATGTAGAAGATGTACACGGAGGTGGCAAATCCTAAAGAGAGAATAGAGTAAAGTCAATAACTGGCCTCTACCTCCCATTCAAGGCCAGCATCTTAGATTTTCAGACTATTTATAGATGTTCTTCGGCACCAAAAAAACTTTGAGCCAAACATTACACAGTAAAATTTTCAGTTGGAGACCAGCAGAGTTGTTAACTGAAGAGAGATTTTATCTCGTTGAATAACCTTGGAAAGTAAGGAAAATAATCTTTTTTCCAAACGAATTACTCCACTGCCACATTTGATTGCCCGGGCGCTTGAGAAAACAGCAAACTTCATAAAATCTAACATAATACACCTGTTATGCAACTCAACAGTAGCTATTGGGTGCTCTGGGATTATGGGTCCCTTCTGAAAAACCTTCGCACTGGTAATAAAGAATTCAAAACAAAGTCATTAAAAAATACATTTTTACGACAGTATTGACCGAGATCATCACTGGTACTCTAGTAGGGTAAAAGCGACTATCTACATACGACTAACAACAACAATAGACAGATTCCAGTCACTAGAAATCTCAGTCCACAGTCGGTAAATGTAGTCAGTGCTACATTTTATGGGTCTTCATGTCGCGATCAATAACAAATTGATTATCAATTAGACAAACGATAAGTGATGAGTCTTTTTCAAAAACAACCCAACTAAGAAGTGTACCACTTGTTATAGTTGTAAAAAGCATTCATATAACTTTCAAAGATCGCTGTTGTGAACAAGCTGCGTTGTTACTTTTCAGAGATTTCTTTTATATGTACCTCAGAAAATTTGGACAGCACTGCATCTGTAGGTAAGGTCTGTTCTCCCTCAGTTTTGATGGCGTCTAAATCCGAGACGGATGGAAGGTCTTCAAGAAGAGAGGCGCTTGCAACTGATTCAAAAATTCCTGAAAAACGATAAAAAAGGCCCGTAGTTTTAGTGCAGCTCAGATATGAGCGGACAACGCAGGAGAAGAAAGCAGTTATCTTGCCAAAGTAAATTTGCCTTTTGGCCCTAGGGAAATACATCCTCATCACATACGCGAACATTAGAAAAACTTTTTGTAATGTTCGGAAAAAGAACATTAGGGAACAAGAAAACGGTAGACCTTGGGTAAGTTGTGAGCTGACTGAATTAGAAGTAAAACTTGAAAGGAGACCACGCATCATTACCAAAAACAGGAAAGTACCCTGTCCGTCCTATCCAAATATCAGTAAAGATTACTAGAAACTGATGAAATAAGACGTTAAGACAGAATCCATCAGGACATTGAGTAATTTTAATTTTCAGTGGACAAAAATCTTGTACCAGAATAATTTGAAGCGTATTGCATTCTTTTTTACATTTTTCAAGGGTTAAAGATCTAATAAATCATCTGTAGTAACACCAAAGAAACTTTTTCGTGAAAGTCCGAGAAAATGAACAAAAATTGTGATTATACAGGCAAAATTCTAAAATTTCTATACCCCTCGACACCAACACCTCAGTCAAAACCACCGAAAAGCTTAACAAATACAAAGACTTGGAAATCGAGGTTGAGCGAATGTGGGGGCAAAACTACACCAACAAAATCCCTGACAACATCAATATACATGAACTCCAGAAAATAACTCTTCTTTCTACAGTCCACCTTCTCAGGCGGGTCCTCTCCATCAAGGAGAAACCCTCTTTGCCTCTTAAAGTCCATGGTTTGGACTCGGATGTTGAGAGAGAAAATCACTCGCAATTACACTAGTATATCATATGACAGTAATAATAATAATAACAACAACAACAACAACAACACTAATAAAATTGGCACTGGGGTAGGACAGGTTGGAGCCTCAGCCTACCACAGGGATGTGGTGCCCCCGCCCACCACACTTATGTCCAGGTTTTATTGCCAACGAGCCATCCGAGCAAAGACGCTCGGATGGCGAGGCGGCAGCAGAATAGAGCCGCGCAAGACTGGGCAATAGGCAAAAAAATTCTCGATCGAGCTGAAAAAAGTGTAACCCGTAAATTTGTAACCAGTAACCTGATGTAATCTAGATTCCCCTGACACCAAGTGGTCAGTTGTGAACCAATCAAAAGGCAGTACCTGGCGCACGGGCTCAATTCCCGCCGTTGCGACTTCCTGTGTTTATTTACCTAAATTTATTCGTCAAACCTGGCCACTGCAGTCAAGAATCATGAGCACTTGATATATTCTATTAATTTTAGGGGCCATAATGTTAAGTTTTAACGAAAGAGAAGTTTGTAAAACAGCAGAAGTGTTCTATGTGCAACAAGCAATATTCTCACCACTAAAAAGGATCAGATTACACGAGAAGATAAGGAAAGCGTGACACGAAGAATACAGTCGCTTCTGTTGGAAAATCTGGTGTTGGGGAAAAAATCTAACCAGCAAACAAAAAAATGAGAACAAAAACGACTTACAAGCCTAAAGCGAACGACAAAGGAAAAGAAAACAATTTTTTTCGAAACCTGGCCGAGTTCAGTATAAAAAAAATGAACCAAAATACCGACGTGCCGTTCATCGCATGTCCTAGGAAACATTTCAGATGGCCCAGCGAATCATTCTAAGTTTCAATCGGATAACAAAAAGGCTCGGGAAATTTGAAAGGAGGTTTAAATGATTTAAAAACTGTGCAAATATATTTATCTTCAATGTGAAACCGAACCGACAGTAGATTTGTAGCTGGACTTAATAATATTCCCGATCGCTTCCTCTGCAAAGCTGATTTTATTCTTTCAAGACACTTCACACTTTTACAAAGCAGGTTTGTTAAGCCACCACACTGAATCTGAGAACTGACTCTCCCCCGGAACCTCACACAGTGTTACAACAGGAAGGGACCAAGAAACGGTCAAATGGGAAAAAAAAAGGAATTTTATTCCTAAGCAAAATACGCATGATTTGCTCGTTGGCACTCTATCGATAGGTATACCTAGTAACATTTAGTAATTTTAGCAAAAACTGCGATTTATCCAATTTTGCGCAATTTTTGGAGAAATCGCAGAAACTGCAGAAATCACAGTTTTTGCTACCTCCTTTACCACTTGAATTTAGTAGTTTTAGCAAAAACTGCGATTTCTCCATTTTTTCGCAATTTTTTGCTACTGCGTGCAAACTTGGACATATCTCAATGTTTTACCACGACTTGACATGTTTTATCATCAGTTGAGATTGGTTTTTATTCAGAGTTTCCTTCTCATAGGTGGGCTGTCAACTAATACTAAGGAGCCTCTCCTTCCCCTATGTTGTAACCCTAACGGGGTGGCTTAGGGGTTGCAAACACTTGCCAAAGGTATCACCCCAGACTTCAACCTCAACTAATGATAAAACATGGCAAGTCGTGATAAAACATTCTCATACCGCATCGGTGGTCGCGTGGGTAAACAAGGGCCGCGTCCCCCAGTAGGGAACCAGGTTGAGGTTGAAAAATCCACTACTGGCACAAACTCTTCCCATCATGCACCTGAGGATTTCCTCACTGAGGGCACCCCTCAATTGGCCCTCATGCGGCACAATCGCACAATTCTTCTAAACCCAGTAGACAAAAATGGTCTAGGGAAGAGTACAAAGGAGACATGGAAGCTTTCAATAAACTGCTTCCCGCTATTACTCAAGGCACCTACCTACAAGTGGTGTGCCAATAACCCCACCAAGAAGCTTAACTTAAATGTCAACAAACTGGCAAATGTCCGTCGTGACATGGTCAGTAGAGAAAGACTAACCAAAATGAAGCTGCCTGCCATCCAGCTAAGTGTGAAGCAGAGAGTTGAAAATACTACACCTTATACGAGGGATGCGAATGCAGTGCCAGAGGAACAAAATGCAAATAACAATCAAGAAATTGACAAAAATAGTGAATCTGATGTGCAAGAACCACTGAGCATCGATACACAAGATGAGACTGTGGGCATCATTGAAGAAAGTATTCGTCAGAGATATAAAATAGCCAAGGAAACCCCAATAAGTCAGAGGTCTCCATTTCCAAAAATAAAAAATGAGTGACACGCAAACTCAGCCATTGAAACAGCAAACAAAGCCATATTAAGCTATCAACCAGATAAAAGACCAATTTCTCTCACAGACATCAACCAACTTGTGTATGCAACTTCCACTACAGTTAAAGAATCACTGGGCAAAAAAACAAAAAGGAACAACAAGCTGAGAAAACCTAACCAACCAAAATGTTAAAAGAAAATTGAAGGTGAAATATGCAAAATCAGGGGTGACGTATCTACGTTGAATGAGATAAAGCACGAAAAGCCTGTCAAAGAAAAACGAAAAAAGACACTGTTTAGCAAGCATAACATTAAACAAGAAAACAAATACCAACAATCACTGAAAAACTGAAACAACAACTACAACCTAAAGCCCAACGAATCAAGAGATTTGAAAAGAGAAAGAAGTTTTTCTACCAGAAAAAACTTACCGAGAAAACGCAAAGAAATTATATAGAGAACTGGGGAAAAGTCCTTTGAGATTAAGGAAACCAAAAATTGATGAAGTAGAGAGCTTCTGGGGACCTGGGGAACCATCTGGGAAAAACAAAAGAGCTACAACAAAAACGCTGACTGGCTCGCCCAGATAGAAAATGAGAATATTGAAATCAATCATCAAATATGGCCTCAAATAACCCTAGAAGAAACAAAAACAGCAATTAAGAAAGCAAGTAACTGAAAAGCCTCTGGTAAGGACGGGATAGCAAACTTCTGGATCAAGAACTTGCCTTCCTTACACCAAGACCTGACAAATGCTTACAATGAATGTCTCAGCAACCCTGAAACCTGTCCTGACTGGCTAACAACTGGTATCACCTATCTGCTTTCCAAAACAGAAGACTCCAAAAATCCTAAACACTATCCCCCCCATCACATGCCTTCCTACAACCTATAAGATATTAACATCCATCATCACTGAGAGAGTTTACCAGCAGACATCTTGATGAAAACAACCTGCTACCCATAGAACAAAAGCCAGGGCTGTCGAAGAGGGAGCTATGGCAGCAAAGACCAGCTTTTAATAAACAAGGCCATCATCGAGGAAGTAAAACAAAGGCACGTTTAACATGCATGAGCTATTTTGAATGCTTCATTATAACCGTATCAACAATCTACTGTTAAAATCCTAAATTTAGACTATTTTTGGGGCGAAATTGGGTATTGCTGTACATTAATGTTAGGGAATTCGAGTTATCACAGTAATCCAGTAAGCAGGATTATAAAAATAACTCAAGCACACAAATTGCACTTGAAGATGTTGGACTTTGTCCCTTTTACAATTCGTATGTAAAAAATACGCAAATTGTTTAGTAGAAAACTTGCTCAAAACGATTTTAAGAAATAACCTCGGCTTTACAATATCTGCACTTAAATTATGCTTCATGCAACGTTAAGGTTGATAGCCTAACATTTATTTACTTCCAAGAAAATTATCAAACTGCCCAAATATATTTCTACTCATATTATTTTATTCCGCTCCATGAAAAAATATCTAATTATTTTGTCAACTAGCTTCTTCCAATTGATCTCTAACATTAGTATTTCTACTTTAATTACGCATCTTTAATATATAAAATACTTTTCAATAACTATAATGACTCTTAAGCAGCAAGCATGTAACATGTTGTTCACTTAATTAATGTTTTTTTTTTCCGGAACGAAAAAGGTCTGTTGAACTTTGTAAGCGAGAGAATAAAGCTTGTTTACAGGATTATAAGTTACTACAGCTTTCAAAAAAAATAAGCTGCCTTTTAAACTTCTAAAACCACAATTTACAGACCGCATACTTCCCAATTAAAGTCCATATCTAAATATCAATTATTGTTTCACTGGAAGAACTTTGAAAAATGTATGATCTTTTATACTCTACCCTGAAGCAGGTGAAACAGAACTCATAAATTATGAAATACGCAGCGAAAACATGGAGCCTTTTCTCGGCACTTCTGTTCTTGAGCAGCAAATATTTGAAGTATTTGACTTGTTTCAGACACAATTATTTCTCTTAAAGCCAACCTCTCTAGTAAGATTTTTGATATTAGTCATCGTTCTAATTGACCCATTTCTGTCAAAACGGAGTTGCGACCGTTCATGACGTTTCCTACATATGTTTTGTTTGAAAAGTGCTTTCACATTTCATGAGTGTCAAGGCGTCTTTCTACTAAGTAATCCGGCATATCATACTTTTTAAGGATATATATCTTGAGTCTATAAATATAACAGATGAAGACATACAATATATTTTAACTGACCTTTTAAGGAGATACCTCTCGATTCTTTGCTGGAAGGGGAGCTCGAACTGTTTCCTTGGCCTTCCTGTGATGTAGAAGCTTTGCAAGGAGGTGACAAATCCTAATGAAACAATAGAGTAAATCAATAACTAAATCCAAGAATCCATCCCGTTGTGGCCTCCATCTCCCATGCAAGGCAAGCATGTTAGATTTCAGACTATCTATAGATGTTCTTCGGCACCAAAAAAACTTTGAGCCAAACAAAACAGAGTAAAATTTTCAGTTGGAGACAAGCAGAGTTGCTAACTGAAGAGAGATTTAATCTTGTTAAATAACCTTGGAAACTAAGAAAATGATCTTTTTTTCTAAAAGAATTACTCCACTGCCATATTTGATGGCTCAGTCAAACAATATTTACAGTACAAACTACTGTTTAAGAGCGGGGCTAAAAATATTATTATTTAACGCCATATTTATAACAGAGCAAGGGAGTCCCTAAGTTGCTTTTACCGAAACAAGAAAAAAACATACATACTAAATTAGACAATAAAAATCTTAAGAGGCTGTCCGCGTAAGAACCGATAAGGCAAATTTCGGTCCATCACGGATTTCCCTGATTTTTTTAGTGGAAGATAACTATCCTATCACATGAAGAAATATCACATTTATTTGGACCAACTCAAGTTTTTCTCTATTTTAGAGGAAGATTTTCTCGGTCACCTAAAACTAGCCAGTTTGCCGTCGGACGTGGTGCGATTTTGGTGAAACTTTAGGGCTCTGTCAAACCTACCTTACATAGCCGAATAAACTGATTATTTTACACACAAAAGTTTTAACTCTGATTAATAGTTTCAAGGTTTAATGGTTGCATTCTGTGGAAAGTTGGCTGAGATATGATTTTTTTAAAATGACCTTTAATTTGCTCCGCAGGAAAAGTAATTTGCATAACTAGAGCTGAACGGTAATTTCGTAAAAGTGGCACCTGACCCAGACTCAAGTCTATGATAAATCAGAAGTACTAAGACCAGTCTACTTCTCAATGCAACAAAATTTGTGGGCACTCTTCTCTGCGCGGTGTACAAAGTTCCGTTAATGTTACAAAATTCGCCATTTTGACAGCAAAGCGGGAATTGTAACGGTCCGCATCAGTGATCGACTAATTTCCACAGTTTTAACGTTTCTAGTTATCACCAAATGTCATTAGACCCTTTAAATGTTGGACTTTTGAAAACATGAGGAGAAAACTTGGTAATCGCTTTTTCTTGTTTTTTTTCCTTGTCGACGAGAACGCGACTTCATTCTCCGTATGCAAATTAGCCATAGATGCGTCGTTTCAACAAATTGACAGGAAACATAACTGCTTATATTTCACATTTTTCAGGGAAAAATATCTCTTCTTTCCACGGAAAAACACGAACGATATATGACTTAGAATCCCCTTAGGTCTGTTTCTTTTAAGGGAAGAAGCAGTAGAAGAAGATATGTTTACGCGAATTAAATAATTTAATTACTTTGGCCCGTCACGCATTCCCAGAGAGTGGCCGTGTATATATCGATCAGTTCTTTTATCTGATTAAATTTTTTTTGGAAGTGATAGTTATTGATAATCATACAATTTAATCACTGTTACTTCCGATTCTTTGCTGGGTGGGAAATACCGTGCTGTTGTATTTATTCATTCTACGACCGTTTTAACTGAGTCAGTATCCCCGGGCGCCACCGTGAGGATAGGGTTTGGACAGCATGGAGTAATACACGACAATTAGCTACAAAGTAGTCACTTGGACACGACCACCCTTATTCACGAGCACCAGCACAATATTTTCAGTTACAGAATTAACAATTAATATTTTCGAAATAGCTCGCAAACAACTTCAGAAACACCGTGCGACACCACACGACCACAGCTGCAAAGTCCTCTAGGCCCCACATTTCCTAGATCCCTAGCTAACTATAGGCTACCCTACAAACTTTAGGGTGGTATTAACAGAGCATTGTGTTTATCGCCAATTAACAACATTTCAGTAAAAATGAGGAATGGCATGCAGAAAAAGGCATAGTTATTGTTTGCAGTCCGTCTCCTGTCAAATTAATCCCAAAAGTTTTTGCCGGCTGTTAATCACACTAAATTAAGGATCCCTATGTTCACTCCTGAGCTGGTGGAGAAAAGCACGTGCAATCTTGTATGAAAGATCTTTCCCTGGATTTGAATGGTATTTCAAAGTGACACATAATTTTTTGAGTATTGCCACGCTGAAATGACTAGATTGTTCTTCCTTTGACATTACACATAGATTGAAAGCTTCTGGTTGAGGGTGTTGTGGTCTCAATTCTTCAGCGATTTCTGCAACAAGGTTTTCCCTTTCGAACTCCTCGTCTTCTTGCAACAGATCTCTATGGTCAAGTTCAACTTGTATACACTTAGGACTATGTTTACGTGTTGACTCAAACGGGCCTTTTAGTCCAACATGGGCTGGGAATATGTGAGCACGGAATTGGGGCGGGGGTGGGGGGAACTCACTATGATGGCCTATACGGGGAGGTTCCGCCCGAAAGGAGTATCTTTTTCAGGCTTCAGGTATATGAAAGGATGGGCATTTCACTAGATGAAGTATATAAAAGGGCGAGTGCGCTTATTGCAGCCTTAGCAGCATCTTTGGCGGTTTTTAAAGAAAAAAGAACTAAGTTTAAGAATTTAAGGAAAAAGTAGACGGACTTAATTTTTCAGAAATTAATATACACGGGAGAAATTTCACCCCCTTAAGTACAAATGCTTGTAAAAGTAGGGGTGGAACAGTGGGGAGAGAGCGTGGATGGTAAAGTAGGTTAAAAATGGAGAGATGAGATGGAGCACATTGTTCAAAAGGGTATAAATACAAAAAAAAAAACAGCAATCTGGAGGCATTTTTGAAGACTTAATGAAAACGTTATCAAAACAAGAAAAACAGAGAAATCTTGTCCAATAAACCTCTCCGGCAAATGTGTGGACATGGTTGCTGACTGTTCAATCGTACTCTTCTCGACCCTTCGGCGTCAAGTTTTTTCAAGTTTCTTGCGACAGGAGGAGCTGAACACTAAGGTACTTTTAAGTCTCACTAATTTTTACAAAACCAAAGACATGTTTTAAACACTGTTTAAGTTCAAAAAAATTGTTTTTATTGCAAGAATGGAATACTTTTCATACACGTGAACGACACCTCGACCACAATCACTCCTAGCCTCGTCCCCAGGACATTCTTCTTAGAAAATGGCAGGGGCGGGAAAGCCCTGGAGATGAGGTTGAATCCTGACTCCGTGTAGAAAGTTCTTTTTTTCCCATTTATAATGCTCTTCAAACAATCATCAGAAACTATCTTTTACAACACACGGATTAACCGGTATGTATAGTATTTTAAAGGTAAGAATTGATTAGCGCAAGATACACGGCTGTCAAAAAAATAGAAATAACAAAAACTATCTTGCAAGCTCAAATAAACTGGAAACGAACTTTAGAAAACATCGCAAGATAAAATGTTAAATAGAGAAATTAGAATATCTCTGTACGTTAAGAAAATTTTTTGCATGAAAAATAAAAAAGAATGATACTTACGTAATGGAACAAAACTTTGACTTATTTCGCTGGCTATATCTGGAAATTTACGACATGTCTTCCTGCCACAGAAGTTATTTTGCCAGTATAATCCAGAGTGTGACAGGGGTATTGACAAGACCTTAGGCTCGATTTCCGCCGTCTCCCCGTCCGTTGGGTTTCATTTTCCAGAGCAGCGGCTTACGATCGAGCCTAACAAGACCTTGGCGCCCGCAAAAACCTGCCAAGCAGGTGTCTGTGCCTTGGGCAGATTGTCATTTAAGTGTTAGCCTGTGTACACACTACACCCCCCCCCCCCCCCCTCCTCGGAGAAGGGGCCCCTTCTCCGATTTTTCCTGAGGGGAGAGGGGTCTGTACACAGGCTATTTAGTGTCTGTGCCTTGGGCAGATTGTCATTTTCAGTTCCGAATACCAACCAAGCCTCGAATACGTCCTCTCGCTAAAATGAGTTCATTTTCATTGTCTTTGCTACACTTGCTACACTTAGACAAGTGACAGCTCGCTAAGTGCGACGTAATGTCATCCATGCACTGTGTGACCAACACATTTTCCTCCACACCCCTACTGGGACCTCACTCTGTCTACAATCTCGCGGAAGAACTGCTCGATGAAATAGCCCAAAAAGCCATTTTTCACAATTGATCTCTTCGGCGATTTTATTGACATAATAATATTTGAAACTGGCACCTGTTGCGTTATAATTCAATCAGATTGAAACCAAAACAAGATCATCGCTGGAATTCGGATGTTATACCCTAACAGAAACTAAAAAGATACTCCCTTTTGCGTTTATTCACTGAAAAAAGGCACTATTTTTCCCGTTTCATTCTGATAACGATAAACGCTTTAAAGATCTTTGAATGAAACTGAAATTTACTGCTAATTTAAGATAGGAAAAGTGTGGGGCATTTTTTTTTTTGTCATAGTGCCATGTACAAAGATCTATCTTCTCCTGATAAGCGAATATCATACTAAAGCTTTCGACTTTAACGCTATTTTTTAACGCACGCAAAAAAGAGTGCCCAAAAATTTTCGTGTGCTGACAAGAGGACTTACCTTGCAAGTGAACTCTTATTTTTTATTATCAATAACTATCATTTAAAAAAAGATGATAATATTATAGAATTGATCAACACAACGGTATTGTTTTCTAATCCACCACCCCTCTTTAGGAATGCGTGACAGGCGACAATAATTGAATTATTTTGAGCCACGCAAACATATCTCATGATATATTACTCAGCTGCTTCCTCCTCGTTAAAAAAAAAACAGACCTTAATGGGATTTTAAGTCATGGTTTGTGTTTTTCTGTGGAAAGGAGAGTTATTTTTCCCCTTAGAAATGTGAAATGAAAGGTTATATTTCCTGTCAATTGGTTGAAACAACGTACTAAGGCTAATTTGCATACAAAGAATGAAGTCACGTTCATCGTCGACAAGAAAAAGATCCAAGGAAAAGCGATTACTAAGTTTTCTCCAGATGTTTTCAAACGTCCAACATTTAAAGGGTCTAATGACATTTAGTGATAACTAGAAACGTTTAAGCTGTGGAAATTAGTCGATCAGATGCGGACCGTTACAATTCCAGCTTTGATGTCAAAATGGCGAATTTTGGAAAATTAACGGAACTTTGCACGGCACGCACAGAAGAGTGCCCACAAATTTTATTGCATTGAGAAGTAGACTGGTCTTAGTACTTCTGATTTATCATAGACTTGAGTCTGGGTCAGGTGCCACTTTTACGAAATTACCGTTCAGCTCTAGTTATGCAAATTACTTTTCCTGCGGAGCAAATTAAAGGTCATTTTAAAAAAATCATATCTCAGCCAACTTTCCACAGAATGCAACCATTAAACCTTGAAACTATTAATCAGAGTTAAAACTTTTGTGTGTAAAATAATCAGTTTATTCGGCTATGTAAGGTAGGTTTGACAGAGCCCTAAAGTTTCACCAAAATCGCACCACGTCCGACGGCAAACTGGCTAGTTTTAGGTGACCGAGAAAATCTTCCTCTAAAATAGAGAAAAACTTGAGTTGGTCCAAATAAATGTGATATTTCTTCATGTGATAGGATAGTTATCTTCCACTAAAAAAATCAGGAAAATCCGTGATGGACCGAAATTTGCCTTATCGGTTCTTACGCGGACAGCCTCTTAACAGTGCGTTAACAAGATTGCGTACTTTAAAGTTTTAATAAGTGACGTCAAGGTTGCCTAGTCCCTGTACGGCGTTTTCCAAGGCCTTCTCGGTCAATTCACTTTGGTGACGTATCCAAGACGAACTGGCGGGAAACGGTCTCACTTTTTCGCTTGGAACACGTGACCCGAAATGCATTGGCTGCCCGGAATAATGAGGCATTGAAACTAGTCAAACGTCATGGGACGTACATGGAGAGAGTTAACCTGGTACTATATCTTCACTGCATACTCATAACCTCACCGCGTAATATTAAGTTATGGGAAAAAGTCCGCGACTGCTGAGCCAATAAGCAAAAAGCAAAAGTTGCCACCGCCACCAGGGGACGAAGGCAGGTAGCGAAAATTGACCGTGGTCCCGGGGTACCGATCATTAAAATGACCACGTTTTTAAGGCACCACGGCCAAATTTATAGTCGAAGGGCGCAATGCATTACAACCGATACAAGCATGCACGTTTTCGACAGAATAAGCAGAGATTATATAAAATTACTGCGGTGAGCTAATTAATTATGCAGGGAGAATATTGGTTAAGGGTGGGCCGACCTCAATCCAAAGGTAAAACACATGTACCTTCGAAACATGCATGTCTGGAAAATACTTTCAAAACCAAAATAGTCAATATTCAAAAATCCGAGATTAAGGAAAACACAGTGCTGGACTGACGCAGCTGTTCACTCTTGAGGTTGTTCAAATGACAGCGTAACGTTCAACGGACTGAATTCTCTTTCTGATAGGAGACACCTAGTTTTGCTTGAAATCACCTTTTCTTCAGACGAGAGCACAATGTTGCGTATTTTAAATAATAGTAATAATAATAATAATAATAATAATAGATCTTTTATGTTTTAAACAAAATTATTAAACGTGCTAAAAACTAACAACAATTACAGTTAAAAGCAATTAGCAATAGGCCATTTGCTAGTTGCCCCGGGCCTCTATATTAAAACTAGTAATAGTTGACACTATAGCTACTCCCGCTCTGTATATTGTCGGTCAATAGTATTCTTCCTCTTTGTGTAGCTCTTTGAAGTATACCGATTTATAATGAAGATTTTCACACATATTCCATACAACAGGTGAGCTAAAAACAGGAAATGAACGCAAGGTTCCATGCACAGTTTCAGTTCGATTTACGCAGCTTTGATCAAAACAAATCAGTTTCGAGAATAGTTTATTCTAAACCATAAGACAAGATTTAATTAGAAGTTGAATTTTTCTGTATTTCTCTTTCACTTTTTACATTCAGTTCATTTTATTTGCCGGAAAGTAAGCCTTAGAAATTAAAAGGACGTTTGATCATTTCACGCTCGCGCATTCTAGTCTTATTTGAAACTTTATAGCAGAAGGACATCTGTGAGCAGGGAATAACTCAGCACAGAATTTGATTGTCGGCGAATTTCTGTAATCGTCCATCGTTCTACTAGTGATAAGCTAGCCGTTGATTCACTCGTCTTGCTTGTTTGGGGCTGAGTCTTATTCAGGTCAAAGAGAGAGAAGAAGTGTCTGGCAAGGTTTCCAATCAAATATTTGTGAACCTCGTGTCTGGCAAACTCTCCAAGTGTTTATTGCGCCCTCAGGGATTTCGCCCAGAAGGCGAAATCCCGAGGAGGCACTTTAGTAACTCGCGCGTATATTAAGGAAAGTACTTACAGTTGAAATATACAGTCGGTATGCCAGAAAAAATCTCGATTTGCTTGAACAGGGGCCGCGAGTGTCTTTTGGTACATAACTTTCAAAACAACTGCTCCACAGAATGTCACTGATAACACGTAACCCAAAAGAGTTACTGTATTGAAGTACGACTGCACAATAAATGTCAAAAAATCTACCTAAGCGGTCCTCATCTTCTCGTCAAGTTTAACGCCTGGACGAGTCAAAGGCTCATGGATTGAAATCCAATCCCCAAGTTTACCATCGTACTCATCTGAAAGACTCCTGCGTGTCTTAAATTTGGTAAGACCTCTAACCGCGCAGTAGAAAATTTGCCACAAAGAAAACAGCGAACGATGCAGGCTCTTACCCACCGAACTTCCTCGTGTTTTTATTTGAGTAGTTCTTGGCTCAATGCATTCTGGTAAAAGGGAGCGCAGTGTACTCTGGTTAAATGCAATGCATTCTGGTAAAAAATGATGAATTCGAGAATTCGTCCCACCTTATATATTTCCCTTAAATCCTGATTATGTTGCTGCTCGCTCCCTACGGTCGCTCCGCAGCAATAAAACTCATTTTCACAAGCGAGGTTGTGCACTTGGACTGGTTTTGAAATTGAGGGTTTTTGGAACTCGGAAGTGGCGTATTAAAAAGCTAAAAGAGATAAAGAGCTTTAAATTCCGTATAAACTATAAAAAACATTAAAACCATTTTATATTAAATTGCTACTTTATATTTTAAACAAGGCCATTAAATAACACTATTTTCAAAACGCTGAGTATTGACTCAAGGCAGTTGGCTGCTAGGAACTTGGAGGCGCACAGAACTTTCTTTTGTTTTGGGGAGGGAAGGATACAAAGGGTGGCTGGGCATGCGCGCTGGAGATCTTCTTAAATAGCGCGCGATCTGTTTCTTCTAAGAAGTCATATGTTAATTTGATGAGATATGTATTTGCGTTTAAAGCAGCGACGCTGTAGAAAATTCATGACCGTACTTAATTCAGGTGTTGAGGAGGTGTATATGGTAAGACAATGAGTTAGCTACGGTAGAACTATTGAAACAAACACCTCATCACTGCACATAAGGCACATCAAGGTACTTATTGACTTACTGCAACTTAACCTTAATGTCCGCATTAAATCTGTGATTACTTTGTAACGTAACTCTTAACAGATTTAAAGAAGAAACTTGCGTTATATTGTTAACATGGTCTGTATCATGGGCTTCCTTCTTACAAAGTGTCAATTTGATACATTTTTTTAACATTACATGCCATGGCATTATTTTGCGTCCAACTGAAAAACTGATTGACAACCTCACGAGAAAGATTTATTTCATTCTTACATACTTTGATGTACAGGGTAGTGTCATCAGCATATTTGACTATGCTAGTAAGGTTATTGTCATCATGAAAAAACAAATTAAAAAGGTGGGGTCCACTAACACTACCCTGGGCGGTTCCTTTGTTTACACTATGCGATTTATAGGTAATGCTCTTAGATATTAGTCGCTGTTTCCTATCCATTGGAAAGCTTACTACCATTTCACAACATATCGATTAAAAGGAAGAGCCTTTAGCTTTTCCCCAACTAATGAGTGTTGCTCATCATCAAAGGCTTTTGAAAAATTCATTGCAAAAAGCTGACACAGTAACAATCCTTGTCATCAAGTGCCTTTAATTAGTTATACTGTATTTGAATTAACGCGTCCGCGCAACTACAGCCATCCCTATACGAAAATTTGGTGTCCGTCAGATTTTCCTAAAAGACTTTCTTACTGTAGTGATGATATACAGTTCTTTCAAAACAGCGCGCTATGACTGAAGTCACATCAATCCAGCCAATAGGGTCACAGCATGAAATAGACATATGGCTTTTACAAACTCGTTTGTGGATCACGCACATAAATACAGCCACTATCCTCTTTAAGCCGACACGGCTGAGCTTATTGGAAGACATCCTCATTGTCACTCTCGTAGGGTAAAACAGACTAGGGTGCCACGTAAGATCGACTTCACTCTACCAACATCAACAAAGAATGCAGAGGCGTGATTGCAGCACAGCGTTCGCTGCAGGAACAGATTCTAACACTAACAATGCTAAGGATCAAAATCCATCAACTATGAGTGAGATTAGAAATGCAACAGTCACTAACAACCAGGGTGCCACTAAGAGGTCTTCACGCCCCGATCAAGAACAAAGACAAACGATAAGAAAAAAACAACCGAACTAAGAAGTGTACTATTTGTTATAGTTTTACAAAACATTCATATAACTTTCAAGATGCCCAGCTCATAATGACTTTTTCACATATTTCTTTTATATCTACCTGAGAAAATTTTGTCGGCGCAGCATCACTAGGTAAGGTCTGTTCGCCCTCAGTTTTGATGGCATGTAATGGAAGGTCATCAGGAAGGGAGGTGCTTGCAACTGGTTCAACAATTCCTGAAAAACAATAAGAAGACTCGTAGTTTTAGTGCAGCTGAGAGATGAGCGTAAAACACAGGAGAAAGAAGCAATTATCTAGCCAAAGGTAATTTTCCTTCTACCCCTAAGGACTTGCACCCTCACCATGTGCACGATAATGGAAAGAGCATTAGGAAACAGGAAACAGGGTCAATCTAGTGTAAGCTGCGAGCAGACTAACCTGAGAACACAGCCGTCATTTGGCGACACTACCACTGGTTTCCCCGCCAAATGACGTCTGAGAAACGAGCCCAGAAATTCCATACTGATGACGCCAGATCTGGGTAGTGACGCGTCATCAGTATGGAATTTCTGCGCTCGTTTCTCAGACGTCATTTGGCGGGGAATTACCAGTGATTGCGTCGTGGTGCTGTAGGTTATGTTGGAAGCTCACTGACCGTGAACAATCATGTGTTTTGTTCACAAATTGTGACTGAATAAATTAATGCAATGTTTCTATTGGTCAGTAAGTTCAAAATGATTGGAATGCTATTGAACGTTGTGCACGGTCAGGTCCGAAAAAGCTAACAAAAACCTATAACAAAGGGTTTCCCAACCATTCCACTTTAATTAACTATTCTAACACATATTGCTAGATGACGAGTTTGCAGTGCAGAGAACCTCCTAGTATGGATTTGGATTTTTAAACCAAACAATCGAGACACCAAGTCCAAAGTTGGCATTATCGCCTTTAGCCTGGATAAAGAAGCAGTGCAAAGATGACTGCTAGCGTCTTTCTCGTGCACATGCAACGATCACACAGCAGGCTTACCGTGAGATTGCTGGAAATTTGACCAAAAGTATAGGAGACGTAAAGGGGTAAACGAGCCAGTTTATATTTTACGAGGAGTGAGGACAAATACCAAGGAGCTAAATCATTTAAAATTTTAAATGTTAAAAAATGCGTGAGCCAACAGTAAGTCAGTGCAAGTCTTTTATGACGGGAGTTATATGGTCGGATCTTCTTTTTTCCGAAACTAAGCGTGCGGCACAGTTCTATTTCTCGCTTGGGTAGGCCACAGCTTTATAAACTGTTACGTAATCAAAGTGTGACATGACGAAAGCATTGACCATCATCTTAAGGTGATCCTAGCCCAGCCAAACTTCCTCCATCTGCCAATAAATCGAACTGCCAGCATAGCATGTATAGCATTGAGCTCTCTATATAGGTTGACACAAAGTGTATAAACTAAGCCTGATGGTTGTACTAGAGCGTTGCCAATAGAAAAAACACTAAAAAACTGGGTTCTTGAAGAACCAGAACTAAACTGAATGACCTCTGTTTTACAAGGACTGCACTTATAGTTGCTCTTCCATTTTATAACTTCACAGATGCACTTATGAATGGTGTTCAGGGTAGGACGTTGATCAAAAGGATCAACAGTAACGTATAGTTGAGAATCCTGTGCATAGATAGTACAGTCTAGGCGGGTTATGAGCAGAGATTATGGCTTGAAAAGGTGCTATATAAAGGGTAAACAAGAGAGATCCTGGTAACGACCCTTGCGAGACTCCAAACGCTAACCTCCGATTGCTATGATAACAGAATGTGTGCAAATGGTAAGACGAAAACCATGTTAGCACTGTGTGGAAAACCGAAGTAATTAAAAACCAGTACAGTATGGTCTCGGGTATCAAAAAGTGCGACTCACAGATCAAGGTATTACCAAAAAAACATCTTGCCGACGATGAATACATGTAGTCCTCAGGCGAAAAAAGGGCAGTCTCGGTGGAGTGATGTTTACAGTAGGCGGATTGCATAAAAGGCATTAAAAGATTTTTTCCAGGTACGAATGGAGAGATTAAGAATCATGTTTACGGCAAATGGAAAGTGTTTTTTTTTTGTTCATACCTTCATTTTTCAAAAAGTTATTTCGGTAAGCTCTGTACTCCTCTTCACTAATAGTCAACGTTAGTTGCACTGAATCAAGGCCCAACTGTTGTAGAATGTCCTCTGTCACAAGGTACCTCTGCGCCACTTCTTGTAGATGGCCCGTGCAATAGTCTCTCCAAAGATCCTCCAGAATACGAAGTGAGGTACACCGCACTGTTATTATCAAGCTTCCCGTCTTGACATCAACCACTATTGTTTGGCGCACTTTTTCCATATACTGAAGAAAACCATAAAACCCCTCTTCATCTGAGGGGTCAATTTTCTGAATAAACTTATCTGCAATAAGATTCAGAACCTCTTGTGAAGAAGGACCTCTTCTATCCACGACATTTTCCTTCCCACTAACATTTTGGGATGGTGATGCTCCTCCTTGTTCAACGGCGTCAACGTGAATGTCAAGATTTTCTGCTGAAACGTATGCAAAAATATTTCACTTTAGCTTGTTCTTATTGTTTTCATAGTTGAAAGCAGAGCAGATTGGCATAAATAAGCGTAAGATAAGTAACCAACGTGATTATCTGAAAAAAGCTACAGCTTTTCCACATAAATAAATTTAGTTCAGTTTACTGAGCATGGCGCTTGTGTGACTCAGGTGATAAAGCATTTTGTGGCGCCAGAGTAAAAAGATATAAACATTTAAACCTTTTAGAGTTCTGTGTGTCAAAGTAAGAAAATCCATTTCAAAATAAAAGGAGATGTTTCCAACAATTGACGATCGAGAAGGACAAAAAAGTTTGTGAAGCCGTAGAAAAGGACAGGAAAGTCTAGTGCCGGAGTGATTCTACATCATTAATCGGAAAAGAAGTTTGAGAGATTTAATACACCTGCAGTTCTGATAGTCGCAATAAGTCTTACAAAAAAGGGCACAGAGGGATGAAAATGGTGCAATTAGTTAGTTGGCCTAGCGAACTCAAATGCACACGAAGTTGCACGATCAGAGACTTATTGTGAAGATAGACAAGCCTTTGTTACGAGCGACGCCAGCAAAAAATTAACTTAAGCACGTAGAGACCTATCAACACCGTCAAATTAAAAACAAACAAAGAAAAAGACAAGTACAAGTTCAAGTATTTGCTGAATCATGTTCACTGTTACTCCGAACGATGTCTTGACCTTATCTCACTAAGGCAATTTGCTTTCACTACTGAGGAATTTCTACTTTTTATATGCTTCAGCTATGCTTCGGTCGACATTCGACCGACTATTTGCCGTTGTTAGTCGTCGATTGGTCGAGCGCCGACCATGCTAGGGACCTTACTAGGGAGCTTTAGCATCGACGACGGCAACGGCAGCGACAACGTCAGTTTTAAAATGAATTCCCATTTTTTCAATCTTTGTAGCGTTTATTCCAATTTGCTGAAAATGGCAAGTGTAGGCGAATTTCCCTGGAGTTGATTTCTTGAGGACCGCACTCAAGTTTAGAGAGAGAAAAAGCGATTCGTCGTCGCTTGTTTACGTCCTCCATAAAACTTGCAATTAGGCATTTTCACGTCGAGTCGTGCAAGGACGGTAAAGAAATGTACAAAAAGCGTGATGCACGTGCAAAGTTGTTGTTTTGCGTAATAAACCTATTGCTTTTTTGACGTCCTGGTTGCCGTCGCCGTCGTCGCTGCTAAAGCTCCCTACTATCTGACAGCGGCGACGCCGCGTCCGTCGAAACTTTCTCGCGGTTATACCAAGTAACCCAGTTACTTGAAATTAGGGAAATTAGGTTGGAGCTGAAGAGAGGGGACCGCGTCCGAGTTCAGAGAGAGAGAGAGATCAAAAAAAAACTTGCCGCCTTGCCGTTCCCGTTCTCAAGTCAACTCAACATTTGGTCATTTCACGTTGTAGTTGTTCAGGAACGGAAAAGAAATTTACAAAAAAGCATGATGCACGGGCAGAGTTAACGTGGTTGTTTTGCTCATAAAACCTATTGTGTTTTAGACGTTCCCGTTGCCGTCGCCGCCGTAGTTTTGTAAGGTTTCGTAAGGTTGCGCCGCTTCCGTTATGCGAAGTTTCACAGAAATCTATGCGACGAATTTCGAGATACCTTGGAATTTCTAAACGAAGGATATAAATTGAGCATGAACTGCGGACTGGACTTTATACAAACAAATTTGCTACTTTATGCATGTTTCTGGAAAGGATTTATCGCTCATTCGTTTTGCAAATGACCCTCATACACTCTACAATCGACTAAGAAGAAACACAAGAAGACTAAGTGCGCGATTTCGAAAACATGTGAATTGGGGTAAAACGCAGTGCTGAGCTTTTTTTGTAATTGTTAAGACTACTTCCAGGAAAACAGTGATCAAACCAAAATTCAACGATAGATTTTCTTGAAAAAGTTTCAGTGCTGCAATTGATCAGTGTACTATAAAATGCCCGATTTTCTCGTCCACTGAAATATTTCAAGTTGCCTAACGAAGGCGCAAACTTGAGTAAATATTGAAGCGATGTGATAAATTTGGATAATTCTTTGCGAGTCCGACGTTTGGTCGAGGTGTTGATGGTAGAGAGTAACATGTCGAGGATCGATTTTTTTATGTTTTTTTTTTTTTGGCGCTTTTTAAGCGAGCGAGGAGCGTCGGAGGCACAAAAGGTCAGTTTTTATTGTAATAACGGTACTCCAGAAAAAAGAGTCCAACCTTAGTCCAACCTTTGGTCGAGGTATTTTGGAAAAGTACACTGAAAATACAATAATAAACGCGCCTATGACTTATGAATGACAAGAGACCTTTATCTCGTTTATCCACATTCCCTACTAGCTTGTCAATCACTGGTTGAAACATTTAAGGGGGAGTCATTGCACTGGTGGTCATTGAATTTTTGTTTGGGAGGGGTATTAGACTTCTTCCCCCAACTTCTAATGGTCCCTCATCACGATATTACCAGTGTTTATTGTGCTTTATAACTAGTGAAACAGCCAAGTGTGCGGAGATAACTACGTTATGTACCAATCATTTCTGGGTTGCTTTTATTTTAACAAAATGTGCCTTTTTTTTCGTGAAAAAATTGAAGTGATTAGATATAATAAAACACGTTTAAAGTAATTTGCCTGTCAGAGCCGCCCTTAATTTTTTTAGTATATTTTTGTTAAATAACTCGACAAAACGTTGGACTCCTTTTCTGGATCAGTACCGTGTTTTAAACTGAACTTTTACATGTCTGACGCTCCTCGCTCACTTCGCGCTTTAGTATACTTTTCTAATAAATACCTTGGGACTTTCATCCACCCAGAAAGCTTCAAAAAGTTCAATAAAACCTGTAAGAACTGTTTTCACTCTGGTAACTTATCAATTTCGTCCTGAATTTTACAATTTATTGACAAACTGTTCGTGTGAACACGTTCTGCGATCCATAAGCTGACGGTTTTGGCGTGATTTTGATAAATTTTCCTTTCTCTGTTTTGTAAGCCTCCAGTCGAGAAAGCATAAAACTCAGGCAAACAGCTAAATGTTTTGATGAAGTTTAATGAGTCAGACACGTTATTTTTCTTTTCTTTTTCAGTTTTTTACTATCATTATTCCTAATCAACAAAATTGTAATTAGTCCTTTACCAAAATGTTTATACCTTTTACAGTAGGGTAAATAATTAAGCAATTCAGCCTGCAGCTGTAATTTCATTATTTTAATAAACCTATCTACTTAATTCAGGACACTGCTGCTAGTTTTCTCACTGGCAAGACGAAATATGAGCACATCACCCCCCCACACTATTAGAACAGAACTCCATTGGTTGCTGGTCTCGTATCGGATTGTGTTTAAGCTTCTTTTTGTGCATGAAACTCGTATAAAAATGGGTTCTGCCCTCAATATCTGGGTCCCGAAGATTTGGAACTTTTTCCTTTTAATATGCAACATTCGAGCACAGCTTCAGAGTTCCAGTTTAAGAGGAATTTTAAAACTTTTCTTTTTGATTAATTTATTGAGTGTACGTATTGAGTAAACTAGTTTCACTTTCTAAGTATATTAGTTTTAATTTTTAGGTTATTAGTCTTTGTTTTGAACACACCCTCAGCTTAGCTGTTTCTTAACTTTTTTAACATATTCTTTAGAAGTCTTAGTTTTTAGAATATTCTTTTTGTATTAGCTAGAGTTCTTGAGAGAATTCGTTAGTGGCTTGTAGCGAGCAAACCAATATTGAATATGACCGACTGAATTTCTGTTTGGTTCTTCTAGGCAACAATTGTCAAGCTATCAAACGAGCTCAATGCCAAAATTAATCGTTTCTCAAACGTATTAGGCATTTTCTCTCTCTCAAGATCCAACTCACGGCACCTTGGACAATTCATTACAACAGTCCAATTTTGATTACTTTTCCGTGATATGAGGTATCTTTTCTTAGCACCTGGGGGACCCCAGGTAGGTGAAGTAACCCGCTTAGGTGGGGTAACCCGCCTGTACATATAATCTCTCATTTTAATTTAATCACGTTTGCATGATAGGTGGAGTGACCCGCCAAATGTTACCTCACCTATCTGGGGTCCCCCACCTCCACAGGCCTTACGAGCCTTTCTTCAAAATTGCAGAATCACTGATGCGGCACGCGTTTTAACTTTTTCTAATAATTAGAAAAAGTTAAAACGCGTGCCACATCAGTGATTCTGCAGTTTTGTACTATTATTGCACTACTGACTTTTTCAGAAGTTAAATTGGCCGAAACTTGACTACCAGCGCTTGGTCAGTAAAGTAATTTTGATGTACTGTATATTGTGAATGACACGGTTCCTGCATATCTGAGTTTGGCGTTTTGTACGTCTTCCTGTTTCTCTAACTTACCACTTGAGACAGAGTGACCATGGGCTTGCCCTTCCTCAGCCACGCTCTGATTATTGCTAACGCAGTCTTTCCTACAGTCGACCGGTGCTGTGGGACAGCTTTCCTCTGGAGATCAGAAAACGCGATCAATGACTTGATGAATTCAAATCTAAGTTAAAACTTTCAAAGTTGACAGTGATACTTTATAATCTTTTTTACTATGTTTTATACACAGCTTCCTTGTAAAGCAGGCTTTCTTACTGTTTCTTAATTCTTGTATTTAACGTAATAAGTTGACCAAGTAGTTAGATATTCGTAATATATATAGCAAGATTTGGTCCATCGTGAAATGTTCGTGTAAACACGTTCTGCGATCTATAGGCTGATGGTTTTGGCGTGACTTTGTAAAATTTGCCTTTCTCGGTTTTGTAAGCCTCCAATCGAGAAAGCATAAAACTCAGGGTCGGCAAACAGCTCAACGTTTTGGTCAAGCTTAAATGACTCAAGCTATACAGGTAGCAAACGCAAGCTTTACCTTCATCTCTTGGCAGTCTTGGGTGCTTTGGATCTGGGACACCACTGGGAGGTAATGGCCTTTTACCTTTTTTCACAGGTTGAACTCCCTCTGATGAGTCTGAAATTGTATTATTTCATTTTGTTCAGTTTTTTTTCCATTGAGTAAACGCCCTTTCGACAATAACTGAGCGATTCCACCTACTGGTCAAGAGCTAGAGTCGATGAGAGTATAGATCACGGATATAACATGATGGTGGCCAAATCGGTTTTTCTTTTTCTCTCGCGCGATTTTTCGAGAAACGTAAACGGTAATGACGCCTGAAACTGTTCATGCTATTGTAAAAAACAAATCGAAAACCATTTTCCATGGTCTGTACTGTTATAAAGCAAAGAAATGACGTCAAAATGTTCATAACGTTGCAGTAAAACCACACGCCGAACATAAGGTTTGAACATTTTGACATCACTTTTATGTCGATCTTTGGTCTATAAGAGGACAAACCATGGAAAATTGTCCTCGATTTGTTAATTGTACAATTTTTAATTGTACATCATAAGCTGACTTTTTAGAATGAGGAGCCTTTTAAACCATTCGCCATGCTAAGACAAACTTGTTGATTAGAAGTAATACCAACTGCTGTCGTTCTTCCTAACACGGTCTAGCAAAGTACTAACAATGCAATATCTTGGAAAGAGTAGTTTCACACAAGCATGCAAAACTGCATTTACAAACTTTTTCTCTCATGTAAACAAGGACCTACATTTTCCCAAATTAGCCTAAAACGTTTCATACGTAAATGGAAATTATAAGAACGTTTTGCTATCTTAAATAGGTTCTTACATTCTAAAGAAAAAAAAGTTTTAGCTAATAGAATTACGTGGTGTACACTTTCTTCCTTTTTTTATAAATCAAAATGTGAAAATGTCTACAATACATTTAAGAAAAGCTGAAGCACCAATCACATAAATTTTGAAGTCCTCCTTCAGAACATACATGTAGCTGTATTTGATCTGTTTCAAAGTTTAGGCTAACAGCATTCTTATCACTACGGTAAAACCCATGGCAGGCCACTTGTGCCGGAAAAAAATTACACGTCACTGCTTTTGCTTAAACTGAAAGGCATTTAAAAATACACTTCAGTTATGCAGCACGACCTAAGCAGGTGCATGGGGCAGACTGTTACAAGGGCTCTGTGAAACTTCATGTGCAACGAAATTTGAAATCAGTTGTTTAGTCAATCAAAGACGGAGATTACTCTGTTTTGATGCACAAAGTTAAACATGTCCCCAGATATAACTGTGTGTATGGCATGTTTCTTCTTTTTTCTTACTACAATACAGCCACTTGTGTCACCCCTAGTTCTGTTAATACATGTGTATAAAAACAGACAGGCCTTACTAAAACACAGTATAATCTCTTTACCTCCAGAGATGTTGCGCATTATTTCAACCAGTCTACTACAGAGATCCTGCCAGTTGTACACTGTTGCATAGATTTCACTTAGGATTTTAGATTCATGAAGACGGATATTCCTGTCTTTTTGACGGGCACCTCTGATAGCATTAGCCCAATCTTTAGGATCTTCTGACTCCACGACAGAGTATGCACCATACGAAACTTTCCTCAAAGCCTCACCAAGACCAGAGTTCCCACTGACCAGCACAGGCAGACCAGCAGATAAAGCCTCAAGGGCACCAAGACCGAAGCCCTCGGTTCGGGATGGCATTATAGCAAGATCTGCTTCACAAAACAAGCGGGCTAACTGCTCTCTGCATTCATTAAAACAACGCACAGTTAGCTGACTGCGATCAATGCCTTGCTGGAGTAACAAATCTTTTACTTTCTCCTCTTCGCCACTTGGAGCTCCAACAAACAAGAGCTTATAGGGCTGAAGTTCGTCTTTCAACTCAGCAATAGCGCGAGCAGCGACGTCATATCCTTTCAACTGAAAGTCTTCATTGTCACCACGTCCGAACACCAAGACACTGAATGTTCTTCTTTCTTCAGTGGCTTGCTTGACATCAGAAAATTCTGAAAAGATGCCCGGGGTAAGATTGAGAACATCTCGATCCTTTTTACAGCCACGGAGATAACCTGAAAAAGCTTCAGCCAGCTTGGGACCAACTGCTACAACTTGATCAGCTTTCTCACAGAGTTTTACCTCAGCCTGGTGCTTTTTCTCGCCCCTTGAAATGGCATCTGAATAGGACTTGTACACACCAAGCTCTTCAGGAGCTGTGTGAACGACCTGAATCCACTTACAATGATGATGTCGTTTTATAATCTGCACTTGCCGACCGAGAACGGCCCCATGTCCTATCACCCAGTCTACAGCATGATCGTCTGGTAGAGAGGACAACCAGTCTACTGGGTTGTCATAACCTGCCATTTCTTCTGCTTCAATAAGATGTACATTGTGACTTGCAGCGACTCGTTTATCCTCTTCACTGCACTGAGGGAGATAAACACTGACCTCCACTCTGGGTTGTTTTGCCAACTGAATGGCCAGCTCTCGGTTAATGGTTGACAAGCCTCCTTTTGTTGATCTCCATTCACTGCTTAACAGAGTTACCTTCAATTGCCTCGAGGAAGAGGATCCTGAATTGTTTTCATGGTCTTCCTGTGATGTAGAGGCTGTGCTAGGAAAGGATGACAATTCCTAAAAGAAGAGTGGCATAAATTTATTACAGGGTTTATTAAAAAGCTAACCTGAGATCAGGCTCACGCAATTTTAGCAGTTCTCATATATTCTCTCTTACGTAGTCCCGCTAAAATTTCTCTTTTCATTTTGCCTTGCCCGCCGGAATGTTATTTACAAAGAGAAACGAAAATAGAGCCTGATCTCAGGTCATCAAAAAGCCTTTTTAATAGTAAGTTCTTTCAAACTTTAATTGAGCATTGTCTTCCACTGCTTTTCTGTCAGCGAGTGGACTTGAAAAAATTGACTAGAAAAACATGCAGGACACTTTTTTGAGTTTGGGCTACCTGTGGTGTCTCATGTACATGTATATGATTTATTCATGTGCTTGAAAGGGAGGGGGACAGAGACAACTTGCAGGGTGAAAGGTCAAACATGATGCACGTTACTAAGAGTGTCTCAACAGCACAGTACACCTGTACCACACTATGAGGTGTGGACTACATGTACATGTATGTAAACAGCACAGTACACCTCTACCACACGAAGAGGTGTGGACTACATGTACATGTATGTAAACAGCACAGTACACCTGTACCACACGAAGAGGTGTGGACTACATGTATGTAAACAGCACAGTACACCTGTACCACACTAAGAGGTGTGGACTACATGTACATGTATGTAAACAGCACAGTACACCTCTACCACACGAAGAGGTGTGGACTACATGTATGTAAAAAGCACAGTACACCTCTACCACACGAAGAGGTGTGGACTACATGTATGTAAACAGCACAGTACACCTGTACCATACTAAGAGGTGTGGACTACATGTATGTAAACAGCACAGTACACCTCTACCACACGAAGAGGTGTGGACTACACGTATGTAAACAGCACAGTACACCTCTACCACACGAAGAGGTGTGGACTACATGTATGTAAACAGCACAGTAAACCTCTACCACACGAAGAGGTGTGGACTACATGTATGTAAACAGCACAGTACACCTGTACCATACTAAGAGGTGTGGACTACATGTATGTAAACAGCACAGTACACCTCTACCACACGAAGAGGTGTGGACTACATGTATGTAAACAGCACAGTACACCTGTACCACACTGAGAGGTGTGGACTACATGCATGTAAACAGCACAGTACACCTGTACCATACTAAGAGGTGTGGACTACATGTATGTAAACAGCACAGTACACCTCTACCACACGAAGAGGTGTGGACTACATGTATGTAAACAGCACAGTACACCTGTACCACACTGAGAAGTGTGGACTACATGCATGTAAACAGCACAGTACACCTGTACCACACTAAGAGGTGTGGACTACATGTATGTAAACAGCACAGTACACCTGTACCACACTAAGAGGTGTGGACTACATGTATGTAAACAGCACAGTACACCTGTACCACACTAAGAGGTGTGGACTACATGTATGTAAACAGCACAGTACACCTGTACCACACTAAGAGGTGTGGACTACATGTATGCAAACAGCACAGTACACCTGTACCACACTAAGAGGTGTGGACTACATGTATATAAACAGCACAGTACACCTGTACCACACTAAGAGGTGTGGACTACATGTATGTAAACAGCACAGTACACCTGTACCACACTAAGAGGTGTGGACTACATGTATGTAAACAGCACAGTACACCTGTACCACACTAAGAGGTGTGGACTACTTGTATGTAAACAGCACAGTACACCTGTACCACACTAAGAGGTGTGGACTACATGTATGTAAACAGCACAGTACACCTGTACCACACTAAGAGATGTGGACTACATGTATGTAAACAGCACAGTACACCACTACCACACTAAGAGGCAGGGTTCGCAAATACGCCAAATTTGGCGTATTTTATGCCAAAATTGTTCAGATGACTCCACGGAGGTTACGGAGGGAGTCACTTTGACTCCAGAAATTTTCGCTAACAAACAGGGAGCCACTTCGACTCCAGAAATTTGCGGTAACAAGCACAGTTTTGTCCTTACCTTTTTCACATCAAATACAATTCACGTTAATTGTAAACGTTGTAAACCTTAATTAAATCATCGAAATTAAAGAATTATACTGCACGACAAAACAGGAAGAGGGTTAATTACGATCAAAGTTTACTTGATGACCGCCATCATGGATTTGAGCTTTCCAGGTCAGGGGACCGCCACAGCTACTTCGTGTATCCCTCACGATAGTGTATACATGCCAGGACCGCGTGCTGGAAAGTCTGAAAATGGCTTTTTTCGTTGTGGTACTTGACTCCAAATATTCCAAAATGACTCCAAAATTTGTGAAGCAGAAGTCACAATGACTCCACTCATCAATAAAATTTGCAAACCCTGAAGAGGTGTGGACTACATGTATGTAAACAGCACAGTATGCCTGTACCACACTAAGACGTGTGGACTACATGTATGTAAACAGCACAGTACACCTGTACCACACTAAGAGGTGTGGACTACATGTATGTAAACAGCACAGTACACCTGTACCACACTAAGAGGTAACAGTACAGTACACCTGTACCAGTACACCTGTACACCTTATCTTGGTTTGAGTACCATGAATTGCCAAGAACTATCCACAGCCCAACTTCCCCCACCCCTCCCTGGATGGAATACCACAAAATTGAAGACCTGTGAGAGGAGAGGTAAAGAGAGAAATAGTTTCTTGACTGAGATCAAAGTGGCTGTGAGCCACAAAATTCAGAAAAAATTATGTTGTTAGTAAAATCTATATTAGATTTTTAATAAGTTGGCTAATGTTACCTTTTTATCATATATTTAGAATTTAAAGCTCATAAAGAATTACTATTCAAATTTTTTCTTTACCATTTGTTTTTACTTACATCTATGTTATCCCTTTGATGAAATAATTACAGGAAAATACATAGTTTTTCAAAAATACAATTATTATATTTTTGAAAAACGTATTTTCCTGTAATTCCTTATAATTCACATGATGTTTTGAGACCATGACACTAGTCGTTCTGTTGTTTTCTACGAAATAATTTTTTGACGTCGTAGATCACGTTTCATCATTTAAATGGCTGTTGAATAAAAGGAGAAAATGTAAAAAGACAGAAAAAAATACTCAGGATACATTTTTCTAGTTGTATTATCTCTCTTGAAATTTTTGCTTGGTAACATACAAAAGGAATGTTTTTTTATGCACTATTAGAATCACTGAGAATTTAGTATTGCTTTTGAGTAGTGGAATTGATCTTTAGTGTGAAAACTTTAAACAGTTGACAAGGACTGCGTGGTAGAGGTTTATGGGATCTTCAATCTTAAAAAAATATATTCATTTACTATAACTAACAGATAATGAATTTTTCTTACCTCCTTCAGCCTTGACATCACAGGAATCCTAAAAATCCTTTAACACTGCAGACATGAACACTAAAACAGGAACAGAGAAAGAAACTACACATACTAAATTAAGGTGCAATGTTGTCAAGTACCATTTAACGCTTTCCTTTTGTGGGAGTTTAATTTACATAATTTGTGGATTGGTGATTTTTTATAATTTCCAACAACTAAATATTGGGATTGCTGCAGTCTGGTTTTTCTCCTTCTGAATCTTGACAACTCAGCATTATATTTTTTATTTGAGTTAACATGCAGGTAAACCCACATTTGAAAATTAATGTTGTAGGTAAAATCTGTTCTCAGGGTAAACCAGAATTTTATTGTGTACTACACACTGTACATTTGTATGATTAACACAGGCTAAGAAAGAAAGGAAATTCTTAACCAAACTAGGTTTAAAATAATATTATAGTCCTGGCCCTGGTTGTTCAAACACTGGATAGTGCTATAGATGAATTTCTATCCAGTGGATAGAGATTTATCCAGTGGATAGAGTTATTCACCTTTTGCACAACTGAGGCCAGGTTTAACCAGAGAACAGATATTTTCACATACAACAAAATAAATACTGTATTATCTTTATAAGTTATTACAGACTTGGGGAGGTCACTTTTTTTGCAGCAATGTGTTTACTTAAGGGGGGGGGGGGGTGGAATGGGTGGTGGTCAGGTTTACTTCTTACAGCTGTATGTGGATCTTGATGGAAACCACAAAAATTTCAAAAACCACCAAAATCAAAAGCCACAAGATAAGATATGAATAAAGTAGTGATAAGTGGGCTGGCACTTTCAGGGTAACTTAATTTGCATTACAACTACTTATAAACAATCTAATTCTTTTTAAAGGTGTATTTTTCAAAAGAATAACCTCTTTCTATCCCAACATTACAGTGTATTAGCATGAATGTTTTTTTTAAAACAGTATTTATCCCATAAGTATGCTGACAGAAGAAGGGGAGTCCTGGACTCCACTGTCTGGAGGATACTGAGGTGTACCTTCCCCAGGGGGGGAGGGTAGACATCCTTCATTTATTTAGCCTAAACAAGCATTTTCTTCTGAACAGGGTAGGGTTTATGGGAGTGTTACGTCTTAAACAAGTTATAAAATTTCACTATTTAGCATCTTGAACACGGTGTCTTTTATTAAACTTGAGCTTTAAGTAATGGTCTGTGTAAAAACTAGGCAGGCAGATGGCAAAAATATCAGTTAAAGTTGCTAACTTTTAATCATTAATTTCAATTACCAAGGGTTCTGATTGGCTGAAATTCAAAAACTGCCAAAAAAAACGGCAAAAAATGTGACAAAAACAACTTTTTTTAGCTTTACTTTCCCCATTCTTCTAT